AGACACAATTCATCACTTTGTGGCATGTGAATCCTGGACACAGTGAAAGGCTGGAGGTGGAACCCGCCTCAGCAGCATTATGCGTGCACCGACAAGACATTATTGCAAGGCAAGCAAAAGGGCTGTTCCATGTTTTGAAGCTTCTTTCCCCCTTTTTGTTATCTTCCTTCCCACCCCACCACCACCCTACTTTACGTTTTCTTGATCTCATGCCCAGACCAGCTTGGAAGCCTCTTTGATTGCTGGTTACTATTATTCCTGTCTCAAACGGGGTGGTCATTCCCAGGAATCCTCAACGCAGCCTCTGTTGTATGTAAACTTGTTAACAGTGCATTGAAAGCAAAGCCATTATCATCGTTAATGGTTTCATCAGCAAGAAAAATAATTTGCTTGGCAGGATCACTGCACGTAAATAGGATGCTTCTCATGAGAGAAACTCAGAATAAACACAATCTTGTAACTTTAAAATGCAAAAAAAAAGTGGTGTGGGTTAATTACATGAGGGAGATTCTTAGCAGGGGAGGATTTCCACTTTTGGAGCTTGCAGACTACAAACAAAATCAATGACTGTTGCCCCCTCAAAGACACGGACACCCTTTGCTATGTGAACTGTCTGGCTTCCAAGGTAAAGGTTCCATCTCCTTTTTATTTCAATAGTGCAGCTCTATGGTGACTCTGATTTGGTAAGAGGAATTTAAAAACACTTCTATTCATGAAGCTCTAGCGAGTTACTACCGTAACGTCTGAAAGATCAGTGCTGGAGAGAGAAGCAGACGATATTAGTACACCTTCGGCTTGGAGTATGAGCATTATGAGCTTGTAATTCTCGGCTTCAAAGTGGGGTGGATTTTTTAGCTTTATCTGCCTGGAATCAGAGCAGGATTTCTCTTCACCTCTATAACTGAGGGTCTCTTGCTGCTACTGCTGGTGGGGGGTATGTGGTGGCGGCACCGGAAGTGCATTGTAGTGATTAGAGTTGAGAACTAGGATCTGAGAAACCTGGATTCAAATCCCCACTCTGCCATGGAAGTCTGCTGGGTATTGTGGGCCAGTCACCTACTCTCAGCCTAACCAACCTCACAGGCTTGTTGCTGTCAGGATCAGATGGTGGTGAGGAGAACTATGTAAGCTGCTTTGGGTCCCCATTAGGGAGGTAGGTGGGATATAAATGAAATAAGTTAATAAATGGTAGGATAGCCAGCCAGATGAGATAGGGCTGCTAAGTGGGGGTGGGGGGCGGGTAAACCCCTGCTTTGGAGGCCCGATTTCCGCCACTGTGGGATCCGCCTCCCTCCCTCTCTTTTCTTTCCTCCTTCTCCACCTCAGGCACTTCAGATGCTCAGAGTGTATTTTGGGGGATGTGACTCCTAATAAACTCAGGTAGTCAACCGTGTTGGCCTGAAGCAACGGCTTTCCCTCCAATGATTGGGGCCACGCCCTCAACATGATCGATGTCGTGCGTCACTTCCGGTGACATGCTGGCGGCATGCGCACGCATGTCCACCTTCGGCTCCCGGAGCCCGGCGAGGCTCCCCCGCCATCAAGATAAATAGACTTGGCAACCCTAAGATGAGAGGAAGGAACGTATATTCTCTCTCTCTCTCTCTCTCTCTCTCTCTCTCTCTCTCTCTCTCTCTCTCTCTCCCCCTCCCTCCCTTTTCTTTCCTCCTTCTTCCTCAGGCACTTCAGATGGTCAGAGTGTACTTTGGGGAATGGGACTCCTAATAAACCCAGGTAGTCAACCGTGTTGGCCTGAAGCAGTAGAACAAATTGAAACTCCAGTGGCACCTTTAAGACCAACAAAGTTTTATTCTAAGTATGAGCTTTTGTGTGCATGCACACACTTTCAAATACATTGGAATGGTAGGTAAGGTACAAACCTATAGACAGGGGCTGAAAAGGAAAGAAAGAAAGAAAGAAAGAAAGAAAGAAAGAAAGAAAGAAAGAAAGAAAGAAAGAAAGAAAGAAAGAAAGAAAGAAAGAAAGAGGAAGGAAAGATGCTGTTAAATGACCTCCACACCTGAGAGAAGAGAATGGAGCGTATCAGTTTACTTCCCACAATTAGAAAAGATATCTTTACATATTCATCTGCTACGTTGACATATTTATTGCTTTACAGCTGTTGACCTTATAACCTTAGCTTGTTATTTAGTTCCATCTTTGCTGTTCAGCCCCTTTCTATAAGTTTGAACCTTTACCTATCGTTCCAATGTATTCAAAAGAGTGTGCATGCACACAAAAGCTCATACCTTGAATTTAAGTTCCTTGGTCTTAAAGGGGCTGCAGGACTCTAAATTTGTTTTCCTAATAAACCTGTCATCTAATGCTGCTGCTGCTTGCATCCATGTCACAAGAAGGCAAGTGGGATGGAGTTGGGGCATTCAAAATCCTATGGCGCTTTCAATGATGTCATATAGAGGGCCGAAGATTCCAAGCATTCCAAGTGCTTGGAACTGGGCTCCAAATAACTTGAAACTCTTTGTTGATTTTGTCAGCCTCATTTCATGGCACCCAACACTGAATGCCATTTTCTGTTTTTTGTGTTGTTGTTTTTAATGGAAACACATAGATGGCCTAGCCCTTTCAGAACAGGACCAGCTTATCCTTTTTTGGCTTCTGCTCATGAATAATTAGTACCACTCTGTTGATAGATCTCTAAATACTACTCATTAAAGATATTAGCTGTCTATTGTTCAACTTTAATTTTGCGAGAATGCCACTTAACAGATAACCTCCCATCCACCTAAATTTTTTTTGCTGTAATCCTTCCCCATGGAAGGTGCCGAGTCACAATTAGCACGGTTTCACTAGGGCTTTATCTCTTGTGTCTATAGTGTACCTATAGTGTCCTGATCTAGATGGCCCAGGCTAGCCTGATATCATTAGATCTCTAAGCAGGTCAGCCCTAGTTAGTACTCGGATGAGAGGCCACTGAGAAAGTCCAGGGCTGCTACACAGAGGGAGCCAATGGCAAACCACCTGTAAATGTCCCTTGCCCTGAAAAGCCTATGGGGTCTCCATAAGTCAACTGTAACTCAATGGCCCTTTCCACTGCCAAATGTCTATAGCATTATAGCCTCAGCAATGATTAACTGAATTAAAGACATAGTCCAGTGTAGAAGGTCATGGTCCATTTTTAACTTTCTTTACCCAAAGATGAATTGGATGTCTCAAGGCATCAACATGAAGTCATGCATAAGATCTTCACGGATTTTGAATTTGAAATTGTACTAGACATATAAAATCCTACACAAGGAAGACAGGAACCACATATTCAGTCTATCAGATTCTACTGTTACATTTGGAACTTAACGTCAACCGATACAAAATTAAGCTTGGCGGGGGGGGGGGGGGGGGGGTCCCCAGACATTGATCACTACCTTTTAAGTGGGGAAAAAAGACTTAATCTTTATATGGTCTCAGTCTTATATTTCCGTCTTGAGATATGTTAATCTCTGATTCTGTATATAATGTAAGCACTGTAATTTTTTAGCATTATTTCTGAACTGTTAGTAAAATAGACTTTAGATTGCTGAAATGTTTCCATGAATAAAGAAAGCATGTAGGTTTTCCTACCTCTTACCCAAAGAGATTAAAATTTGGAGGTCCAGAACAGTAAGCGGCTAAATCCAAGCATATACACAGTGGGTTGGATCCAGACTAAACTGGTGATTTCCAACATTTCCCCCTTCCCACTACAGACTCACTCATTCCTTGGGGCCCCTATACCTTAAAAGCAGCATTTTGTGGAGCCTGGTGGGCTCAGTGGGAGAAAACCGGCAGGTAAGTTCCATTCAGCTGATGAAAAATTGTAGTCTGGATCAACCCAATGAGTGGAAATAAAATGCTGTGAACCTATTGAATAACAGCCCATAAAGCCTTTTAGTTCTAAGAGGTATCACTAGAATGTTATACATGTAACTTAACAGACACTCCACATTCTCATATGCACAGTATGGGTTGGATCCATAGATCTGTTTATTGTGCATTAAGGTTGTTTTGCACGAGAGGGATGGTTTTCACCAATTACCCCTTGCCAATGCAGACTCCCACATCACCCTCCACATTGTTCTACAGCAGGGGTCCCCAACTTTTTCTAGCTTGCCGGCACCTGCTAAATTCTGAGTCGGGGTGGTGGGCACAACCAAAAAATACTTCAGGAGGCAGAGCCAATCACAAAATGGCAGGGAGTAAGGTTATGCATAACTTGAATAGTAACTCTTCAACATTTTTTGGAGATGCTCTGCTCAACAGGATGCCTTTTAAGATGAATATATTGTTTTAAATTATTTTGTTGCATGCACACTGCTTCTCAGAAGCCCCACTACTTTTTGAAACACTTGGTGGGCACCATGGTGCCCCGGGGCACCACATTGGGGATCCCTGCTCCACAGGATCCCCTGACTCCTAGAATAAGGTCTCCCAAGAACACAGGAACTATAGCAGGAAAGGGTGGTGGAAGAGATCCACAAATGACACTAAGGGTGATTTCCCACAAGCGCTGCTCAGCGCTCACTCTTCTCTCTGGCCCGATGGTATGTGTCAGTTTCACACAAGCTGCTGCGTGACTGCATTTTGCCCCACAGCTTTGTGTGATTTCCCCCGCGTCTACTCAATCCTGTTTTTTGAGGATTGAGTAGACGTGGAGAAAATCGCACGAAGCTGCTGGGCAAAATGCGGCCGTGCAGCAGCTTGTGTGAAATTGACACGTACCATCAGGGCAAAAGGGAGGCGTGAACGCGGAGCAGCGCTTGTGGGAAATCACCCTCAACCTAAAGTTCTTTGGCTCCAACCTGATATGTGTGTTTTATTTATGTATATGTATAAGCAGGCATTTAGATAGTAAAGAATGCTGAACCTATATAAGGCAACTTAGCATGTCTTCGTGTTCTATCTGCTAAAATGATCTTGCAGTCTTTCTATTTATGCTCTTAGTAAGTTTACAGTTAAGATACATGCACACAGTGAACAGAAGTCAGTGGCAAAACATCTGGACTCACCTGTAATTCTGCTTTTCATTTCCTATGTAAAACCGATCGTATTGGGAATAAGCCCGATTTCCTTCCCAGTCCATTAGTTCAATTCTTAGCGAATAGTGCCTTTGACTGGTTATTGTAAAGATAAACTCATTCCCCAGCCAATATTCACCCGAGGGACTACCAAAGCCCTAGAAAAAAATGGGTGAAATGCAATTCAATGATCGTTTCTCATGCTTTTGTGACATTTACATTATAGGAGCAGTCATAATTTTTACTAAAAAGCAGTCTTCTTTCTTGTTATGATGAACTTGACTAATATATGAAAAATGTTTGATGTTTTCAGGTGCAATTTGGGAATGCAAGTTTATAACTATATTGAGTTGGACCCAACCAACTCTTCCAATGGTAAAAACCCAGAAGAGAGTGCTCCCTTTGACCACTGAACACATGGAGCTGCTTTATACTGAATCAGATCCTTGGTCCCTCAGAGTCTGTTTTGTGTACTCAGACTGGCAGCAGCTCTTCAGGGTTTCAGGCAGAAGTCCTTCATGTTACCTACTACCAGATCTTTTAACTGAAGAAGCCAGAGGTTGAACTTGGGACCTTCTGCATGCCACACAGATGTTCTACCACTGAGTCACAGCCCTTCCCCATTAAAAAGGCTATGCTGATGATCAGGGGACCTGCATGAACAAAAGGAATATGCAACGTGGGCTGTAGTAAGAAGGGGAAATAGGTGTGATGTAGTGAAAAAGCTGGCTGGATCCAACCCATTGAAAAGTTTCAGTGTTGCCCCTGATTTCTGGTTAATAGAGACATTAAATTGATGAGAGTTTCTATTTTTGGGCAGGAACGGCCAGGAACGGAGTTCCGGCTGGCTTCAGAGTTGGCCACGCCCACTACAGCCAAAGCATCTGCGTGCGAGAGCAACCCGCCCCCCCCCCCCCCGGCGACTCTGAGGCAGGTGAGCCAGGGGGCCCCTGAAAGGATCGGGGAGGCAACCCCCCCCGGCTTGTCCAAGGGCTGGCATGGGGTGTGGCCTAATATGCCAATGAGCCTGCTGTCATGGGTGTGGCCTGATATGCTAATGAGTTTCTGCTGTTGGGTGTGTCCTATTATGCTAATGAGTTCCTGCTGGGCTTTTTCTATTTTTAATTAGGCCAGATTTAATACTACTTCATCTGAGGATTAGACTGCATATTTCATTTAGAAAATGCAGCAACATGGGAAACAGTCCTGCTCTCAAGATGAAGGCCTTTTAGAAAGGTAAACTTGATATTATTAAGCAGGTATTCAATACTTTGATAATTATGCACACAATTATTGTTTTAATGATAAGGGTAAATCATAAAGATCTGAGATCAAATCATCCAGAAAAGTTCTGCTTTATCTGCTGGGTTCTTGAAAATTACTGATTGTTAAGAATTGGCATAAGGACAAATCTCCTTTGGTGAGCATATGGCTTTTTATAGCACAGGAACCACTTCAAATAGTTAACATATTATATTCATTTCTTTTGCCCAACAGAATCCGTGTTTTACATTACTGGAAGCAGTGAAGTAATTTTGTAAAAAATTACAACAATTTCTGATGGCTTGTTGTTAGCTCATTCAATTTAAAGATAAGAAATGTACTTTAATGATTGATTGAATGCTTGTTTATATTTGTGGTTTGCCATCATCTCTGCCTATGTGGATCAGTGTTTTGTGTGCCATTTCTATTTTTATGTAAAGCACATGTTAAAGTAAGCCTCCACGCATGCACACACACATTCCAGGCAGCAGAGAGGAGAGGTGTCCACCTTTAGCTGCTATAACAAATTATGTTCTATTGGTGATTTGAAAAGGAAAAACCTCTTTAAAACTGAACAGTGCAATCTTAAACAGTTAACTCTTCTAAGCCCCTTGAAGCTACTGGGCTTTGAGGGGGTTGACTCTGTTTAGGACTGCAGTGAATAAAACCATTAACATGAGTGTTGCCAATGTCAATGAATAAGTACAACATCAAGATATGTAAAGAAGGGTTGAAAAATGATTATCAAATGTATTCTAAATACATACTGTAACAAGACCACATCAGTGCTCAATGTTTTTTCTTGAAACCCATAAAGAAGATCAACTTTTTTTTGTTTTTAGCTATGTATGTGTGTGTGTGTGAGAGAGAGAGAGTCTGTGAGAACGATTTGGTTTTTTCTTTCAAGCGAATATTTTTAATCAATCATTTGTTTTTCATTATCATTGCTTTCAATGTGACACAGGTTTTCACCCATAACTTATTATCCCTATCCAACTGAGTTGAAATTTTCATGCCAGAGTTCACACCAACAGGCAAAGGGAAGCATTTTGCAAGATAGCTCAAGCAAGTAGCAGATAGTACGGTGAGGTGAGTACATATAGTACAGTGAGGTGAGTACATAGATCTGCATTGGCAACCTGAGACAGTGGGTAACAGGGAGCACAAATAATATATGAAATATAAAATGTTATAAATGGGGAACCATGTTTAGCAGGAGTGTGGGGACATCTCTGTACCACACATAAAGATGGGATCAGGTGAGCAAAGAGCTTGACGAAGCACAATCTAATCCCCTGCCACTCTATGATACTGCACTGTCAGTCTGTCTTCCTTGTGCTTTGCCTAAAAACAGACTACATGAGCCATGTAGTACTTCCATATCCATAATGAATGAGCTATCCCTACTGGATATCCACCATTGTGTTAGCTGAATTGCTTTATTTACAGAAATTGGCAATTTATGAATTGGTTCTTGCCAGTTTATACCAAGGTCCTGTTCCCACCAAGGGTTACCAGAGAAGGTTAACGAGGCTGTTATATTTAAAATAAATGTATTTTACTAGAAAATATATCTCATACAAACAATACTGATGCACTCACACATTCAATCAAGTTCCTTAGAATTACAGTATTAAAATAGGCACGGTTGCATTAGCAGGTGGGGGTGATGACGGGTGATACTTATCTGTCTTGCAGCTTGGTTGTCCCAATAAAGAATGAATGGGAAGAAATGGACACTAAAGGGAGTTCACACACGACTAGAACCAGCCAGAATGTGTGAGTCTCTTGACTGCAGATCAAGAGATCAAAGTGGAGGCAAGGGCAGGGGATAGCAAGTGGGACTTAAGGGGAGTAAAAGCAGATAGGGGTTGTTGCGGGGAATGCTAGCTAGGAAGGGCCAGGCGAATGGTCCTTTCCTTTTATAGTGGGTCCATTGGATGGGTGGCAACTGTTCCAACCAGTAGACCCACCTACCTCTCAGTCCGTCCTATTGGTTGCATGTAGGGAGGGTGGTTACCTAAGAGGAGTGGGCAATATTGTAACCAAAAACCTTACTTGGAGTATGGCATCTGGACAGGTGTGAAAAACTTGGCATCAGGAAACTTCATTGTGGCTGTGGTCACAAGGAGCGTTAGGCACACTAGAGAGACAGAAGTTAGGCAGATTTTCCGGGCGCGATCTCACCGCCACATCTGGGAAGCATAGAGCTCACCCGAGGCTTCACTCCAAAGATGCGGGGTAAAAAACTAGTACCTCCGAGGGGCATGGGTGGGTGTCTGATCGCGTTTCCGGTGGTAGTTCCGGCGCCCGCCCATGTCCCCTCGCACACTTTAGTTTAAAAAAACAACAACACAACCCCGTTTGCCCTGCGGCCCCGCTTCTTTGCAGCGCTGCAGGATTGTCCTGCGATTGGCACCTCCCCCCTAACCACGGGACCTCCACGGGACGTCTGCGATTGTCCTGTGATCAGCACCTCCCCCCTAACCATGGGACCTCCACAGGACGTCTGCTCGCGCAACCGCACGTTATTTTGCCCTGGGGCAAACAGCCATGCTTCCCCCCCGCATTTTCCTGCCCGTGTGATCGGGGCCTGTGTTGCTGATGAAGCTGGCCATTCCATTGATAACCAAATGTCCATTTGGCAGGAAATACCAATGCAGGAACAAAGCAGTTGATGGGTAGTACGTGACCACAAACAATTCAGCAATGGGGGCTGTCTCTTTTTAGAGCTGTTGTTTTCATTGCTCACAATAATGGAGGTTTGTGCTTCTTCACCAGGCTGGTAACTGTGTAGCTGAAACCTTATTTACGTATAAGGCATATGCAAGCACCTTCTATGTGTGGGAAAGTGTACAGTTCTCTGAGCCTATTTGTGTGTGCACAGTCCATTGTATGTAGCAATAAATAGTCCATAAAGCAAAATATCAAATTCATTCTCTAACAATTGATTACAGGGAAACTCACACACATGAAGCTGCTTTATACTGAATCAGACTCTTGGTCCATCAAGGTCAGTATTGTCTACTCAGACTGGCAGCGGCTCTCCAAGGTCTCAGGCAAAGACTTTTCACATCACCTACTACCTTATCCTCAACTGTGGGTACCAGGGATTTAACCTGGGCCCTTCTGTAAGCTTCTGCTGAGCCACACCCCCTCCCTTATAATGTGCACAAATTACTGAAAGAAGGCACTAGATACAACCTTGGAAAGCATGGAGATATAGGATTTGCTCCTATCTCCCTTGCTGGTGGGGGGGGGATGTGTAGGCAAATATTTGCAGCACTGCCTGTTGACGGCAGTAACTATAACATTCAACAGTCCCAATTCTCAGCACTACCTATATCAGGGGTCCCCAACATGGTACCTTAGAAAGTGGGTGGGCCAGGTGGGGCTTCTGATTGGCCATTGGAAATTTGATTGGCTGTGCAGATTTTTTAAAATGTTGCTTTGGCAGCAGCTGTCACCACACAAGCAGAATCTTCACTGTGTGACTGAAGGTAAATTGTAGCAGCCATTTGGTGGCTGCACCCACCATACTATGTCAGAATTCAAAAAGCATCTGCAGGCTCAAAAAGGTTGGGGACCCCTGACCTATATGCTAGGATATGCAAGCAAGACATAGGTCCCTGTGCCTAGCAGTATACAACAAGCAAAGAAGAAAGACCACTTAAAGCAAAGCCCTCCTCAAGCCAATGAGCCAGGAATGAGATTGAGGTAAAAACTTGGGAAAGAAAGCATAAGACCCTGAAAGCAAAATCTAGGTATCTCTGGACTGGTAAACCTCCTAGTCAGTTACATGCCCAAGTGCCATCTCTTCTCCTCCCACTAAGTCAGGCAGTCAGCTTAAAGATCCAAAGACTTTCAAGCATTACTAACTGTTGTTAGTTTTTCA